TTTCATAGTCTGGACAGAGCTTACCTGGGTCCTTTGCTTCAGGATCTCACAAGGGTGCACCAAGGTGTAGACTGTGGCCATGGTCACATCTGAGGCTCAGTAGGAGAGGGGAGGAGACTGCTTCCTAAATCCCATGGTTGTCAGCCACATTCAGTTCCTTCCATGTCATTGGACTGAAGCTGTTATCCAGAAGCTGCCCACAATTCCTTGCCACTTGCTTTTCGCATCCGACTGCTTACTACTTCAGAGCCAGCAAGGGAGAGAATTTCTTGAAAGAAGGACATTACACTGTTATGTAACATATTCATGGGAGTGACAGCCTGTCATCTTTGCCATATTCTATTGGTTAGAAGCAAGTCCCAGGTCCCACCCACCCTGAGCGGGAGGGGTTTACACAGGATGTGAATTCCAGGAAGCAAGGCTCATGAAAACCATGCTAGAGTCTTTCCGCTGCATTACCAAAGTTAAGAGACCCAGGAACCAAGGGGGTTTATTATATGATTTTTCTTCGTCTTCATGGGCAAGTTTACTTAATCCTGTGATGAACCAAAGTGATGCTCTTTGCAAGACATTATCATCACTCTATCCTACTGGTTCCCTTAGCTTTCCCTTGGGGTAAAAAATAATATTATGGAGGACTCAATACATGTACAGTTTCTCTGGTGCCACAAAAGTTTCCATTATCCCAGTGTGGCCCAGCCAAGGAACAATCACTTAAAGAGAACTGAGAAGAAAATAGTTCTAACAGTGCTCTGATTGGTTCAGGCTAACAGAGGTTTCAGTGAGAAACCAACGTGGATTGAACCACATCAGAACACAATTTGTAGCATAAAGAAATAGGACAAGGAACATGATACGTTATTGAAAGTCTAGTCTATACAGGATTGTGAAAGACAATGCTCTTCACAGAGACTAGGTTTGTGGAAAAAGGGATAATTTATGGAGAAATATTGCTGGGCTATTAATTCATTTTTAAATGCAAAATGAGAATGAGTAGTCATGGGTAAAATTAAAATCTTAATTTTTAACGCATCATGAAATGTATCTGTGACTGTCAGTGCTTTAAGAAGCTAGAGGTCCAGGAGAGCAAATAAAATTTCAAAACTGTTTAGCTTATCATTTGGTAAAAGCCAGCTGTGTGTTAAGGACTAGAGAATGAGGAACCAGTGGCAGGTCTACTGTGTAGCTATTTTATCCATAAATTAATAAAAATCCTTGCGCACCCAGAGTCACCAGGGTAACTAAGTTTAGACTCCCATGTAGTTTGTGACACTAGAGGCCCAATCAGGAGTTTAACAAGAGGTACGTCTCTCAGTGGCACGTGTTTGTTGGGTGAAGGAGTTAGGGGGGCAGAGGGACAGTACTTCCTTGAAATTGCAGAGAACCCAGAGTTAGGAGCTTGTAAGGGCTTAGCCTCTGAGCAGACTCTCCCAGGTTGAATTCGTGAGTGAAATCCAGACATAAAGGGACAAACTGGCAATTTCTAGTTCCCTCTGACCTCCCTTGCAGAGGGCGACAGTCACATATCCTGGTGTGCCTTTTGTCATGGGACTACTATAGAAAGAGAAAGAGAAGGGGGGAAAGCACATTGTTGACCACCTAAAAATGAGGCCAAGTAAATCATTTATAACACTGGTTGAAATTTCTATGCTACACGCAGTTACCAAATTATCCAGCTGTGGACTTTCAGCTGTAATAATACACTGAGCGTGTTCAAGGGAGGGCCTGCTCTAGGCAGAGATGAGAAAGGATTTATGCATTATGATTTATTTTGCTCTGGGGAAGTGGGAGCTCAGTTGCTGTGCCTTTTATTAAAAGTCGAGGGTTTTATAAGTATTTTTGGTAAGATTTTCCTTTGCCCTCCCTACTCTTATTGTTGGTTTGTTTTTGTGTCTGCAAGCTGAAATTCATGTCAAGGAGTCAAGGACTCCTTTTTAAATATGGGCAAAATCACCTTGGAAACAGGAGGTGGCCTTCTATCCACAATGAGAGAAGCTACACATGGATATTTTGAATTAAATGCTGAAAGTTCTGATGTTCTGAGCTTTCTTGACTTACTTCTTCCAAACGCGTTCTTAAAACAAATGGCAGTTGCCTCACAGAACAATCCTTGCACCAACGTGTATGCTAATAATCACTAAGGAGTCAGGATGCTTTGCTTTACTTATGGTAACTCTACACATCTGTACAGGCTTCCTGAGGTCAGATGCTTTTCATCTGTTGTGTCCTCAGTGTTGTTTTGGCTCTTCTATCTAGAGGTCACACTCTCTTAATTAGAAGCCTCCTTCCCCTTCCTTCCCACATGTGAAACTGTGCAGAGTCCTGAGCTCCCAGACTCAGGGCCCCAGAGGACTATCTGTCTTAAACAATCAAGCACACAAGGAAGAGTGATAAGTATTCAGTTGCACTGGCTACTCTTTCATGTGGAGATTTAGAGACCTAACCATTTTCCTGATTGGTTCTTGACTCTCTGAAGGCTCCTTCCGCTGTGAGATATCAACCCTCTCTCCCTAGAAGTAAGCATGCCTCCTCCTTACATTTGAGAGGCTGACTTTGGACTCTGCTGTTTACTTATTTGCTTTTCTGTAGTCCACACGGCTGCCATCTTTTCCCATTCTACCAGACGCCGTGGATGTGATGTCCCGTCCCTTCCCTTGCCATCACCACCCTCTTTGTTCACCTTGGGCTATCTCTCCCTCAGGTGGCTGGCATCTATGCCCTCCTGGCCGGCATCTGCTCCAGAAACTCGTCCTGCATGTGACCCCTCACCCTGAGCCTTTGGAGGCTCAGACCCATCACTCAGGCATGGAGAGCTCCTCTCACCTCAGGGGCTCCAGCGCCAGCAGGATGAGGAGACACCAACTCCTGTTGTCCAGCCTTCACTCTAACTCTGACGGTGCTATTTTGTCTCTGGAGCTTGGTGGGATTTCCTTGCTTCCTTGCAAATAAAGTTCAAATTCTTCCACCCTATTCATGTAAAGATAGATCATTCCACTCCTTTTGCCTTTTTCTATTCACTTCTCCTCAATCACCTTTTTTTCTTTCGTGGTACGCGGGCCTCTCACTGTTGTGGCCTCTCCCATTGCGGAGCACAGGCTCTGGTCGCGCAGGCTTAGCGTCCATGGCTCACGGGCCCAGCCGCTCCGCGGAATGTGGGATCCTCCCGGACCGGGGCACGAACCCGTGTCCCCTGCATTGGCAGGCGGACTCTCAACCACTGTGCCACCAGGGAAGCACCTCAATCCCCTTTTTACTTCACTCTTCCCACTCCTACCTTCTGTTCTTTTCCAGGATGCCCACTGATGCTCACTGTGCTTCATCCTGTTGACTCCCTTCAGCTTGGCCTGGCTTGTTGCTTTTCATGGCTGTACCTGTTATGGAATCCATCACATTCTTCCTTAAATGTCCCTGGTTTGATGGGAAGACGGTTGAATCGTATCAACATTTGCTGTCAGGAAACTACGTTCCCCGAATTACCTCTCTTACATTCTGGAAATCAGCTGTTTACCTCTATTTTTTTGCTCATTAAGATAGTGTTTTCTGACTATGGAGAATAGTATGGAGTGTCCTTAAAAAAATAAAAAAAGAATTGCTATATGATCCAGCAATCCCACTCTGGGGCATATATCCAGGAAAAAACCTCTAATTCAAAAAGATACATGCACCCCACTTCATAGCAGCACTATTTACAATAGCCAAGGCATGGAAGCAGCCTAAGTGTCCATGGACAGATGAATGGATAAAGAAGATATTGTATACATGTACAATGGAATACTACACAGCCATAAAAAACAATGAAATAATGCAATTTCTAGCAACATGGATGGGCCTAGAGATTATCATACTAAGTGAAGTAAGTCAGAAAGAAAGACAAATACCATATGATGTCACTTACATGCCGAATCTAAAATATGGTACAAATGAACTTATTTACAAAACAGAAAAAGACTCACAGACATAGAAAACAAACTTGGGTTACCAAAGGGGAAAGGGAGGAGAGAGAAATTAGGAGTTTGGGATTAACATATACACAGTACGACATATAAAATAGGTTAAAAAAAAAAAAGGACCTACTGTATAGCACAGGGAACTATATTCAATATCTTGTAATAAACAATAATGGAAAAGAATATGAAAAATATATATATAATGTATATCATATATATATATAAGCTGAATCACTTTGCTATACATCTGAAATTAACACCACATTGTAAATTAAGTCTACTTCAATAAGGAAATAAAGATAGTGTGTTCTATCCTGCACATCCTGGACTTGGGTCTGTTTCCCTGTATGCATCTCAGGTTGGACACACCTGTGATAGGGAAGTACTCTTTGTGATTTTGAGCACTTAGCGAGACACAAATGCCAAATGTGTCTCACTAAGTTTGGCTACATTCAGAATAACATCTTCTTCCCTATGAGCTGTAAACCTGCACCTTGCCAGGTTGTTTCCTTCTTATTTTTTGTTTGTTTCCCTCACTTCCCTTTATTTCACTTGTAGCATTAAAGACGAGGAGAAATTTGATCCTTCTAAGGCTAAGGAAGGCCATGTATATTTGGCTAAAAATTGGCAGTATGAATGTACATGTAGAAGTATAGTCAATCACTAAAAAATAGGATTAATTGTCAATAGTAATTCAACTCTTTTTGGGTAACAGGTGGTCATCTAAATTAAGGTAGCTGGACATCATTCTGAGAGTCTACAAATAAATTTAAAAATACAATAACTTAGCAGTATGTGACTTGAAGCTTCATGCTAAAATTAGACTAACTTTTCTTTGACTTATATTAGTAGGATTATGGGCCTTACTTGATTCGAGGATGAGAAATGAATTCCAAATACAATTTGCTGCCTTTATATTCATAACCTACTTTATCTTTCAGTGTTTATGTTTAGAAGATACATGCCCTACTTAGGTATTTTCTATGTGTTCTCATTTTTTGAGTGTCTGTTTGAAGGGTTTTTTGTTTGTTTCTCCTCTAATTGGCTGCACAGGAAGATCCATCCTGCATTGTGAGTCTAACATTTTTTCATTGTCTCCTCCGCATCCCATTGTCTGTGCACACACAGCATGGCCAGCGCCACATCCGCCTCCTTCCCTGGGTGACCACCCGGAACACGAAACGCCCCTCACGCGGAGCATGCCCATGGGTTCAACATTCCGTGCAGGGCCAGAGAGTGGAAAGCCTGTGGCCTCACGTTCCACTAAACCCTTGCTTTTTCCTCTTGGTTTCCTCATTACAGATACTGCAATGAGCATCTGCTGTGCCCCCCACACATGTTCTGGACAGGCTGGGGTCCCTGGGAACGGTGCACAGCACAGTGTGGAGGCGGCATTCAAGCTCGCCGCAGAACCTGCGAGAATGGTCCTGACTGTGCGGGCTGTAGTGTGGTGAGTAGCCCTCCTCATCCCCAGCCCACAGTCTAGAGCTGGGAGTCCAGAGTCAGCACACACTAGATGCTCTGCAAACACAAGGTGTTCTACAAACTCTGAATGCTCTGCAAACACAAGATCCTCAGCAGACACTAGATATACTGCAAACATTAAATGCTCCATAGACATGACACATCGAGGCACTAGATGCTGTGAATCACGTAAGTCTTTCTGGTTAATGAGAATGTCTGGAGGAGATACTGGAAATTCAGAGTATCCTGAAGGCTGATTGGAATAAATATTCTCATGTGGGATATACTGCCCCAGGAGTTTTCCAGTTCTCATTTCTGAGCTAGTACAGAAACTTCAGTATGCTTAACTCTGGGCACTATATTTGGTTTGGGAAATGGAATAAGGTCATCATACCGGGCCTGCGCTAAGTTATAAAATGCGGACAAACCTGAGACACTGAGGATTGAGAACCTTTATGGGGCCATTGTCAGAGCACATTTGGTGCCAATTCTGAGGGAATAAAAGACAAATGATGGTTTTGTTTTTCTTCTGCCTTAACGGGTCCTATTTCCCTTAACACTTTAGACTCTCAAATAAAATTCCACTTGTGCAAGGGCCTGTTGTTGCTCGTCCTGTGTCATCTGTCAGGATGATTGAGCACCAAAGACTGCTGGGCTTTCACTTTATTTGTCTGCCCCTGGTGCTGGCACTGCAGAGTGGCTTCAAAGACAGTGCAGGTGCTTTTGTGGAGAGGTTCAGCCTGAGAAGGTCTGGCTTGGCGCCCTTCCTCACTGGTTTTCCAGTTGGTCTTTGCAGCAATTTTGTAACCTTGGCTCATGAGGCTTAGGATGTTTCTGTGTTGCTGTAAAGTTTGTTTTTGTGAGATGCAAAGACCATTCACTCCAGATAGCCTTGGGAAATTTGGAGAGAAGAAGAGGATTATTAGACACTTTGCCAGATATTACACCCAACCCAAGGAGATTTCTGTTATTGGGATTTGCAATTAGATTTCTTCCCCTTTGCACTGGCAAAGTTTGCAGTAACTTTAATCGAATCTATCACTGATTATAGGTCACCCTGAACTAGCTTTCAACCAAGGAAAATCTTAGTATCCAGTTTAGGATGACGTATTTATTGATATTTCAGATGCTAAGATTTTAAATTATTTATGAAAATGTGGCAGGTAAATCTGTGAACAGTCACATGTTCTAGGAAATCAGTTCAAATGTGGTAGATTTACTCTTTGCTGAAATATATCAGTCCTGTTCCCGGTGGCTCGACATTTAACACTGGGATCCCCACTCCCATATCAATGTTTGTCTCCTCTGCGGGGAAACCACAGGGATGGATGACCTGAGTTGATCTTGCACTTTAGTCTCTAAAACTTTGCAATACGAAGAACTCAGAAAACATTTCAAGTCTTTCATTTTCTTATTGCAAACTGACTTCAATTATTACATTTAAAAACAGTTTAATGAAAGAAAAATTATATTAAGGAAAGAGTAGCCTATCTCCTATGTAGTCACTGGAGTATGTGTGTGTGTGTGTGTGTGTGTGTGTGTATGTGTGTGTGAGATACATATGATTATAAATGTAAAAACTGAATGTCTTTCCAAAATGTTCATGTATTTTGGCTTTATTTGTGTCTAAATTTACAGAATTATGGTTTATGAAAAAATATAACATCAGTTTTCAAATCCAGAGTAATATCATGAATGTTTCTAAGAAGGCTAATATAAGTTTTTAGGTATTTTAGTTTTGTTTTCTTTTTCTTCCCCACCATAGTTAATCTACTGGCCATGTAATTCCAGGAAGGTGTTATTATGGTACACTGGAGCAATCTATTCTTTTACGATAGAAGCGCAGCATTGATTTTTTTCCTGCATGGCTTTTTTTTTCTATTTATTCCAGTTTCTGTCTCTTCTAAGGCAGGAATGCCAAATGAGGGACATAAGCAGAATGAAGGAGGGGCTTTGTTTCCTTGCTTAGAAAATGTATCCTATCAGTTCAATTTGTAAGATTTTTTTAAAAAAACTAATAGTTATTTAGGTAAAGTAGTATGTTGATCATATTCTGGTTGCAGTTTAGAAATCTTTGGCCATGAAGTATGTTTGTTTTTGATGTTTTGTCTTCTACCAAGATAGTGGCACACAACAGTGTGAATCAACTGTACTCTAATATAAAAGAAAAATTAAACATTAAAAAACAGAATTAAGGGGTCTTCCCTGGTGGCTCAGTGGTGGAGAATCTGCCTGCCAATGCAGGGGACATGGGTTCGAGCCCTGGTCTGGGAAGATCCCACATGCTGCGGAGCAACTGGGCCCGTGAGCCACAACTACTGAGCCTGCTTGTCTGGAGCCTGTGCTCCACAACGAGAGGCCGCGATGGTGAGAGGCCCACACACCGCGATGAAGAGTGGCCCCCACTTGCCACAGCTAGAGAAAGCGCTCGCACAGAAACGAAGACCCAACACAGCTAAAAAAAAAAAAAATATGGGAGTCCATGTATTTTCTGCAGGGCTCTCCAACCAAAGAAGCTACTGTAATAGGGAAGAACAAATCTGATTCCATATTAGATCTGTTCCTTTAAAAAGAGAAAATAAAAACAGAATTAAGAAACAAATGTAAGGACATTTTAAATTGGAAAAAATGGTAGTGGCTGTAAGTATAATTTATGAACTTTGGATTCATGAAATTGATTATCTCCTTGCCGATATCTGGCTGGATGACAAGTCAGGTGATATTTCTGAGTCTCTGTCTCCCCCACTAAGAAGAGGGTGATCATCCATCCCTCCTAGAGCTGCTGTATCAGGTGCGGTGATGCCCCTGACGTTCAGCCACAAGGTCTCACCTTCCCTGTGAGTTCTCTTTCCTACTCTCATTTCTTTAATTGTTATTCCTGGGCTTCAGCTGCTTCTCTGAGTCCAAGCTTATTACAAATGACTGTATACTAATGGAATGTTATTTACACAGTAAAGGACAGCTCTGTGAAAAGTATAACAATTTGAATTTCCTGAGCACTACAGCAGCCAATAAAAAAAGAGTTGGTTTCAATTTCAGGTATGAACGGGATAAAAAGACTTGAGAAACTTTTCTTGCCCCACCATTTTTAAACTGAAGTTTCATGAAAAGATTTCCCATATTTCACCCGTGATATTCATACGTCCTTGTCTTTGATTAAACCTCCACGCCTTTATTTAAATCTCAATAAGAGATGGTCAGTTCAGACAGTTAAAGACCCTCATTGAGAGCCATTTGTTTTTTCTGTGAAACTCTGTTCTTAAAGTTCCAAATGTTGATATATCTTCACAATTCTGATTTCAGTTCTTTTGCTTACATATGTAGAAGTGGGCTTGCTGGGTCGTGTGGTAGTTTTATTTTTAATTGTTTGAGGAACCTCCACGATGTTTCCAGTAGTGGCTGCATCATTTTGCATTCCCATCCAAAGCATGCAAGGGTTCCAATTTCTCCACATCCAGAAGAATTGAAATCAGGATCTTGAAAAGCACTCTGCACTCCCATGTTCATTGCAGCACTATTCACAATAGCCGGGATGCGGAAACAACCTAAATGTCTACCTACAGATGAATGGATAAAGAAAATGCAGTAGAGACGTACAACGGAATACCACTCAGCCTTTAAAAAAGAAGGAAATTCTACCTTATGTGGCAACATCAACGAACCTCGAGGACATTAAGTGAAATTGGTGCTAGAAGTGAAATTAGCCGGTCACAGAAAGACAAATACCATGTGAGTCCACTTACAGGAGGTATCTGAAATAGTCAGATACATAGTATCAAAGAGCGCAAGTGTGGCTGCCAGAGACTGCATGGATAGGGAAATGGGGAAATCAAGTTTTATCTAAGCAAGATGAGCATGTTCTAGAGGTATCCTCTACAACATTGTGCCTTCTGTCAACAACACGGTACTGAACCCTGAAATATTTAAGAAGGTGGATCTCATGTTAAATGTTTGTCATGTTTACCATGACAAAATAAAAAAATAAAAAGTAAAGTTAAAGAAAAGTAAGTTCCAGATGTTGGAGGCTTGGGGGCCCATGGAGCCTTGGGTTGTTTGGGGAGCTGAATGACACGTACAGAGGGAGGGCCTGGATCTTTTGCAGTCAGTTAATTGTGTGACTCCAAGGCCCACCCACTATCCTCGGGACCCCTGTCTTCCTCCGCGAAGTGCAGGGCAAAGCCAGCTAGAGTCCAAGTTCCCTGGCCCTGAAATGACTGATTCTGTTGTGATCCTGGTACCCCTTCTCTGGACCCTGGTGGCACACGTGTCCTTCCCTGGTGGCGGAGGTCTCTGATGAGTTTGGAATGAGGTACATCAGGATCCTTAATGGACAGACATTTTCTCCCACTTCCAAGTGAGCTTGTCTAGAACCCGCAGGAGCGCTGGGTTCCTCCGGTCCCCGCTGCTCCTCCCCAGCTCTCCACAGCATCCCTTCACGCCTGTGGCCTCCCAGAGCGAGTAGGCAGGTGAGAGAGGAAAAACCACCCCCCAGCTCTGCCTCTGAGTCGGCAGGACACTTGGGGCCCTGTTTCGCATCTCCAGGCTGCATCCTCGAATGCAAACACCTGGCTCTCTCGGAGGATACACAGAATGTACGAGATACATGTCTATATATCCTACTCAGTGACAAAGCAACATAGGCAAACAGAAATAGAAATTGTCACCATCATTATTGGCATCAAGTCACAGTCTTCAGGAAAATGTTTCTATTCTTGAATAATATACCATTAACAAGTCACATTTTATGTTTTTCTATTTAAAGTTACTTTTATATTAATATTTGTGTAATTTATAATTTGTGTTTATATAGATATATAAATTTATATTAAATTTAAATTATTTTATGTTACCTATATTTGGCATATGTGTTTCGCTTTTAACCTCTTTTGGTAATACCTGGTAACCATAATGATGATTGTCAGATCAAGTCTTATAAATCCTAGCTTACTGCATAGTGTCACATGAAATACTGAAATGAGGTTATCA